GTCAGAGGCTACACACCACTAGCAAATTTACAGATCAGGGGATCAGTTTTTTTGGTTTTGTTTAATCCACCATGAAAACTGCCCCTCCGTAAACTGCTGACTGCTGACATAGGAATGAAAATAAGGATGACTTGGATCTGACCTACGCATTTATGTTTTTACTGAGAATCACACTCTCAGCTCAGGAAAGCAGCTGCCAGGTTGACCTGTAGAGTCAACCTGATGCCTTTGGTTCAAGAGATGTGTTCGTCCATCCTTGCTCCCTCCTTGTTACTTAGCCTCTCTGGGTCTGTGAATTGTAGCATGATTATCCTGTAGATCTTGTTGTGCCCAAGTTGCAAGTCCCCAGAGACCACCAGGAAGACAGGCCCACCAAACTGCAAAAGCAAGGTTTAATGATTGTTCATCCAACCATAACAGGGACCCCGTCTGGCTAGCTGTCACAGAAGCCCCCAGAGGGAGTGAAGTTCCCTGTCTACTGCTAGGTTTTATAGACAAAAGTTACAGGATTACATCAGTAAGTATGGGTTATTTTCTGATTGGTTGACTTTTGGGAACAATCAGGAGAATTTCTCAAAGTCATATTTTGGCATGAAATACCCATGTACTAATTATTTTCATTGGTCAGTGCTGAGAGGGAACATTCTGTGGTTTCTATGGCATTGTCTTGTTACTTTCAGGTGGCCTGTTGTTCATAGATACCAATAGTTTACAGAACTATATCCTGGAGACTACAGGGGAGGTTTTGTTCACCCCTAGAGTTTCTTTTGTGGCCAAACAGTTCCTAGGAACCAAGCACCTAGGAGGCTGGGGTGAGGGTCTGGAGTTTCTTTGTGTTCAGTTTTGGCCCTAGATTCCGGGAGGCCAGAGGATCTGGAGTTTCCTTGTGTCAGAGGCCTATGTGTCTTTTCTGTAGCCTGTCATGGCTACTAAAGCAGGGGGCTGAGTGAGGGTCCAGTCCCTTTATTTCTGGATTATTGGAAGTGAAGCTATTGAGTTTAGTTTACCCCTTTCAAGCTAATATCCACTTAGGAATGAGTACATACCATGTTTGTCTGGGTCTGGGTGACCTGACTCAGGATGATTTTTTTTCTAGTTCCATCTGCATGGAAATTTCATGATGTTATACTTTAAACAGCTGAGTAATACTATTTATGTAGGAAAAAGTATGTGTTTAATAAAGAGCAGACAGTCTTTCAAGCTCTAGGTGACTGGAGCAGCAACAACATCAGTGAGGCAAGTTTTTCTGTGGTCCTTGACGATGGTAGCATCGACAGGGTGGTGTGGATCACATGGCGACCATTTCAGTGTTGCAGACCACACTTCTCCAGCACCTGTTTACTTTCCTTTTTAATGATTCTTAACATTAATGCCTTTCCTCTTGGGAAATCGTGTGTGGGCTTTGGTGGAGGATAAAAATGTGTACAGTGGTAGCATCTCTAAACAGAAGAATTCTTTAAAAAATCCTTGCCACCACAGAATCGGGAATTCCTTTGTGCCCTCCTAATTACACCAAAAACAGGAAAGTTAGAGATTTACTAGACACACTTGTTCCCACGGATGAAATGCCTACAATTCAGATCCAGAGTCTGAGGTCATTAAGGGCACAAGTTCAGCTAATAAATACAGAGAAATCAGAATGGTACAGTATAATGGAAAAAGAGTAAGATATCGGGACCTTCCCTTTTGGGAGCGTTATGAGGGGAACATCCCCATATGGTAAGATTAAGAAATCGTAGTATAGTGTTGGCTTCCCAGAAGTCATTTTCCCAAGGACAGGCATTTGGATAAGGGGCTCCACTCCCTTTGGGACTTGAGGAAAGTTCCTGCTTGATAAAACAGTCATTTTTATCTCTAACAAAAGGAACTTGTGGCTGTTCCATTAAGATATGATTGTCAAGGATAATGCTACATCCCTCAGTTCCTGATCTAAGCCACATCCCAGATCACATGTCCCTTGTCTTACATTTAATCCTATGTGCAACTATACAGTGTAAAATGTGGGGGCTGGAGAGATGACTCAGAGGTTAAGAGCACTGGCTGCTTTTCCAAAGGTCCTGAGCTCTGTCCCAGCAACCACAAGGTGGCTCACAATCATCTGTAATGATATCTGGTGCCCTTTTCTGGCCTGCAGGCATACATGGAGGCAGAATGTTGTATGTTGCATGCAGAATAAATAAATCTTAAAAAGAAGTGTAGTTTTAACAGCTGACCTGAGCAAGTGGGAACAAATGGACCCCAGTCTGACAGTTAAGGAACCAGCATAGGACTGAACCAGGCCCCCTGAACGTGGGTGTCAGTGGGGAGGCCAGGGCAGTCTATGAGGCCTCTGGCAGTGGAACCAGTATTTATCCCTAGTGCATAGACTTTGGGAGTCCATTCCCTATGAAGGGATACTCTCTCAGCCTATATACATGGAGCTGTCTAGGCCCTGCCCCAAATGATGTGACAGGCTTTGATGACCTTCCATAGGAGGCCTCACCCTCCCTGGGGAGGAGATGGGGGGATGGTGGGGTACTTGGGAGGGCTGGAGGGAAAGGGAACTGGGATTGGTATGTAAAATAAGATTGTTTTTAAAATTTAAATTAAAAAAGCAGAGAAAAAAAGGTGTAGTCATTTTTTCAATTAAACCCTCAGATTGTGTCCATTTCCTCTTTTCTCCCCACCCCCACTGACTCCACACATCCTCTTTGGTATTTGAACCCCCACCGAAACAAGTCTCTGGCAGCTAGGATAGCAAAGGAAAAAGATGGTGGATGCTCTGGAGGGATAAGCAGCAGGGAGGGCTTGTGTTCCTGAGAGGAAGGGGCAATGCAGGATGGTTTCAGGTTGGGGACAGTGGCACATTCCTGTCATTCTAGCATTTGGGATGCTGATACAGGAAGATCATTCGTTTGAGGACAGTCAGAGTGTGCTGATCAGTTTTATGTCAATTTGACACAACCTAGAGTCATCAGAGATGAGGGAGACTCAGTTGAGAAAATTCATCCATCAATTACTATGCATACAAGCCTGTAGGGCATTTTTTAAATTAGTGATTGATGGGGGGAAGGCTTGATCTATTGTATGCTGGTGGTCCTGAGTTTTATAAGAAAGAGGGTTGAGCAAGGTAGAGGAAGCAAGCCAGTAGGCAGCACTCCACTGTGGCCTCTGCATCAGTTCCTGCCTCCAGGTAACTGCCCTTTTTTATTTTTTTTTTTTTTTTGGTTTTTACGAGACAGGGTTTCCCTGTATTGTTTTGGAGGCTATCGGGCCAGCCCGGCCTCGAACTCACAGAGATCCGCCTGCCTCTGCCTCCCGAGTGCTGGGATTAAAGGCGTGCGCCACCACCGCCCGGCGGTAACTGCCCTTTTTGAGTTCCTGCCCTGACTTCCCTCAGTGATGGACTGTTAATGGAAGTATAAATGAAATATACCCTCCTGCTCCCCAAGTTGCTTTTGGTCATGGTGTATCATCACAACAATGATATAACCTTAACTAAGACACAGGATGATAGAGTTACAAAAAGCAAGCAAGCAGAGCTCAGAAAATCAAGGAGAATCTTGAAGTAAAAGAAGGAAGGTTATGCAATTCATTGCCTCTGCGGGATTGGCTAGAGAAGGCACTGCCCGGTGGAGAAATCAAGACTTTAGATGTGGACAAAGAGCTGAGGGCAATCAGGTAATCTCTCAATTTTGTGGGGTACAACCCCTTAGTTTAAAGCGATTCTAATCTCAAGCTCTGCTGCTTACTCTATCTGGTCTTATAACAGATATGGTACTCAGGCTCTGAGCTAGGGTAGAGAGTCTGCGTAGTGTAGGCATGTAAGTTAGATTTCCTCAGCCATCTTGTGCACGTTTCTGAATTTGTTCTTGGCATTTTCTAGTCTATCTTTATTGACTTGCTTTCTTTCCGTTTCTGCTTGTTTGTTTATGTGCAGGGACGTTTGAGTGTTCATGTATGTACAGATATATGTGTGTATGAGGTGCTTAACAACTGTGTGCATGTGCGTTTAGGTCAGAAGAGAACCTTGAGTGTGATTCCTTAGGTACTGTTCATGCATCTTAATTATTATTTTTTTTTTGAGAAAGTCTCTCATTAGCTTGGAACACAGCAAGTAAGCTAGGCTGGCTACTTAGAAATCCTTAGTGCTCCAACTGACTGTGTCCACACCCCTGGGATAAGATTCTGCTACCTAGAATTTGCCCTCGTTTTTCCTCCCTTTCACTCTCTCTCTTTTGAGTGTTATAAGGCATTTCAGTAAGTGGAATATCCATCAAGCCACTCCTAGTGTGGCTTTTCACTCAGGGTCATGTGGTTAGTACTATAGTTGCTGACCTGAAATGCAAAGACTTTTCAGCATGCTTCGTAGTGGTAGGGGCTCCCACCTGCTCTGATACATCTCACTGTTTGTGTCCAACTGTGCTCCTCCATTGTCAACATGGAGGATTTGAGTTTCAGTCTCTGTTTGGTTTTTATTCATAAGAAAGTATGTAGAGTTGGAGAGTGTGTTAGCGTTCCTTCAGTGTAACAAGATAAGCATTGTAAGCGGGGAAGACACTGATGTAAGCTCAGTGTTAGAGGACCCAGGCTGTGACTAATTTCTCCTTTGGTCTTTAGGTCTGTGGTGAGCAGTATCTAGTCATGACAAGCAAAGTGTTCACGAGATGGCTAGGAAGCAAAAGCAAGAACAGAAAGAGACAGGGTTCCTCATTGGGTTGAAAGATGCGCCCCAGTGAACTAAAGAACTACTTCTGGGCACCACATCTTAAGGGAACCTCCTCCCTTTAGCACAGGTGGGAATCAAGGCTTTACCACCTGAGCCTTTGGGAAGCACTCCAGATCCAAAGTAAAACAGGAAAGTGAGCGGCAGAAAGGTTTAATCACTGTCACCATTGTCCCCCAGAGTGCTGGAGAACACTGTATTTGTTGTCTCATGTTATTGTTTAGCCCCAAGAAAGAAGTTCTTTGCATTTCCAAGAACATGTACCAGAGTTGAGACAGGAGTCAGAGTCATTTACTTTTGCATGAAGGGCCTGTTTATTAAGTAGCTGATTACAACAATGCCCATGTCCTTGAAATGTTGTTCTTTGCCCTGGCAATCAAGGCAGAGGATCCTGAGCCTGCTGAGGGGACTACTGCTACTGTTTCCTTAATCATAAGGATGGGGCTTCAAAGTGGCATGGGGAGATTAAGAGAGGATGTCGCTGTCTTCCTGGACTTGTCCTGGCTTCAGTAGTGCATTCAGTTTGTTGCCTGAAGGTCACTCTAAGTGGAGAAAAAGACAGCAATTACTGCCTTTACCCCAGAAGTTAACTGCAGGCATGATTATTGTCAACCCCCACCCCCAGCAAACCACACAGTACTGTTTCAGGGGTGGGGAGAGAACATCCCAGAGAGTTTAGACTATGGGAAGAGGATTTTCAGGTGAAGCTTCTGGGAGGAGGGGATCCGTGCAGGTGCAGTTGGGGTGCACCCAGAGAGAGCAGGTGTAAGGCACAGATTCTGGGGTCACAGGTTCCTGAGTGAAGCACCTGCTGACCCCGGCACGATGCTGGCTGTCAGTAACTACATTGCACTGTTATCATATAACTTGCTGTGGGCTGTTTCTTGCCACTGTAGTTGTATCTCAGATGTCATGCATCTGATCTGTTCCCGTGATCAAGGCTGGCTTGTGCAAGGTCCCCTGGCCCCTGAGTGATCAGTAGGAAAGAATGAGAGCGTAAAAAGTCACCCTGAGCAAATGCTGCCTTTCTGTCATTTGGATCCAGATTCTGGGAAGCATGGGGTCAAAGCCAGCTTACAAGTTTGAGTCACATGAAAGAAGCTGATGTTTTCTGGGTCACATTGCACACTTATTGCACAGGTAGATCAAGACTCTATGAAGTTCCTGTACCTGGCAAAGCCAAGTCAAGCAAAGCAAAGCAGCAGAGAAAGTGCTGTATTTCAGTTTCTTACCGATTTCAGCGGGTTGACATTGGCATTCATTATTGCAAATGAAGACACTCCTTCTGGAATATTCATCTGTTTATACAGTTCTGAAAGAAGGAAGTACCACCTTGTAACAGGAGTTAAAGGACACGATTATTGGGTAGTTTGTTTGAGCACAGTCACCTGTAGGAAATATGACCTGTATGAGGCCGTATCAACAGTCCCAGCCACACAATGTGGTTTCATGAAAACTGTATACCCCAACCTGTAGGATGTAGGCAAGATATGGTATAGGAGAAGAAAAGTTCCCAAAGCAGCCGCGATTTGGTGATAGATACACTGCCTCACTACAGGACCTGCCTGGAGGTGACACATAGTTTTGATGATCAGTATACTGTTTAAAGCCACAATAGAGCTACCAGGAACGTGAATACCTGACATGTGGTACCATCATCATTGTTGTCCTAAGAGGTTATGTCATCACCTTTCTGTGTCATAACCCTAATGTCTATAGGGTTGGGTGACCCGGTTCAAATGCTCAGATGTATACGCCAAAGGTCTTGGTCCCAAGGCACTGGTGGACAAGACTTGCTGGCAGGTCCAGAGAAGGCAATTTGGTTTGTTTTCCCTTTATACCATGAGATGCTGTCATTTATGATAGAGAAGGCGATGTATAACTCAGGAGATGACAGGGTGGCCTTGTTCTTGGTGCTTTAGTGTCCTACAAGTGCCATTGCTTTCTTGCCTGTCATGGGGCACCAACTATGTCAGCTGTCAGAGCTATTAATACACATACCATTGAAGCCAGAAAAGGCCTTCTTCTTGACTTCATCCAAAATGCCATCTACCTCTTCCTTCTGCAAGACACGGAGGACATTTTCAGTAGAGCCTTGTAGTCCTCCCTTGTCCTCAAGTCCCAGGAGCATTGGATCAGGCTGCAGGATCCTGTGGACTTCTCTAGTTGTCTGGTCTGTCACATGTCAAGGTCAAATGTAGTGATGGATGTCCAAGTATCCTTAGGGCTCCCATCTTTGCAGGTGTTGGGGCCCCTGTTACATTTGTTTTGCTTGTGGCTCCATTAGCAGCGGTATTGACCTGTTCACTGCCACCCTTCTACATTTATATCAGGGGTTACTTGGAGGCCTAAGGTGGGAGAACTGGCTATTGGTGGTCACTGCTGAGGCTTGAGGATGTGTAGGCCTGGGTTCCTCCATGTCACGGTGTCCCTTCTCTTTCTGTGACCCCGTCTGAGAGCGTATGGTGCTGCTTCTGTACCTCTGCTTCCTTCTCACTGCTCTCCCTTCTCTGTGGGATGTCAGGCAGAACTTCAATGGGTGCCACTGTGACAGTACCCCACTGTGTGCACAGAGAGGACACTCCTTAACCTCTGCCCTCTAACATCCAGGGGACAGCTGTTGGCATAAACCACTGCATGTGGGTGTCTCTGTGAGGTCAGGGGTCAGTCTAAGTCTAGTTCACAGAGTCCACGGCAAGGAACGTGTTGTCACTTCCCTGCTAAGTAGAGATGGGGCATTGCAAGCCTTGGAATGTTTCCTGAGTCTGCTGTTTCACTGACTGTCCATGTCTCGAGGTGCTAAGGGACACATTTCCAACCCCATGTGTAGACACCACCGTGGGCCTCTCTCCAGCATGTGACACCAGACTTTCAGTATGTTCTGCCGCCTTTGTATGTGTTTCTATGTATGCTCCTTGCAGCCCCACAAGCAGCTGTCAATGTGAGCACGGCAGCTTTGGTTCAGAGCTCTTCAGAGAGTCAGTTCGGAGCCTGCAGTTGTGTTCCACAATAAGTGCGTGCTCCATTCCCCATGGGCCTCCCTTTCCTCACTCCTGAGCCACTGAGTGTCTGGTAGTGACATGATTTCCTGCTTATAATAGGTCAATATGAAAGGGTTCATCAACTTACAGACTCAGGGGGCTCCACTCTGTGGTCAGAACTGTCAGCAACAAAAACCAGAGAAATGTTAGGTTCATGAGAACATTATGACTGCAGTTTAAGTTCAAGTGTCATCTCAACTGATTTGGAGTGAGTCAGCTGTTGACCAGGAGCTACTGAGCAGAACAGACAACTGAGTAAGAGCATGTAAGCCACAACTCCCGATTCCCTGTAGCTATTCGAATATTTGCCCAGAAGCCATCACTCCTATGTGTTTCACAAAGTATTTTTTCATTTTTTAAGTTTAAATTAGAAACAAGCTTCCTTCACATGTCATTTCCAGCTTTCTCTGACTGCCTTCCTCCTCAATCCCCCCCAGCCCCCAGCCCCCTACTCAATTTCCACTCCACTCTCCAGGGTGGGTGAGGCCACTAATGGGGGATCTTCAAAGTCTCTTATATCATCCAGGACAGGACCTAGGCCTTCACCCATGTGTTCATGGAATGGGCTCCCAAAATCCATTCGGATGCCAGGGATAAATACTGATCTAGTACCAGAGTTTAGTGTTCAGGAGGACTGTGAATTCTTTGACTATAGTACCTTGTAAGTTTGATGTTTGATTCCAGTTTGGTTTTTGAAATCTTGCTGCCATGGGCAATGATTAATTGCTGAAATGACACAAGGGAGCATGAGTGATGCATGGAACCATGGCCTTCCCTCTGCTGTGGGGACACCAAGGCACAACAATGGGCCCCAGGCTTTTTGGAACAGTTCATCGCATGCAGCCCTGTCCTTGGCTTCTTCCCACGCAGTGACCCTTCATTTCTCAGCACTCACCGTTTTCCCAGTGGCAAAGTCCTGGCCATCTTTTGTTATTGCAACCTCATAGTAGACTCTGAGGTGTTTGTCTTTCTGGAAGGCATAGGCTACTTTGGTGATGTTGGCCTCCAGGTCATTCATCTGTTGTGAAGAAGACCTCAGTTAGTGAGGGGAAGAGGCTGGAGTTGTGGTGTTCTGAGTCAGACACGTGTGTTTCAGCCTTGCTGGACATAGTGTATTTCGTCCCGTAGGCTTGGTCACCCATCTGGGTGCTGGTGCAGCTGAGAAAAAGAAGTGACAGGGGCATTCCCACCCTTTTCTGTGTTTACTTCTGTGGATGGATGTTGAGGCAGACATCTTGTGAAATGTTGCTCCTATCAAGGTTTTCAAAGTAGAAGTGTGCTTCTCTTCCCTTGTGCCCTGGAAGCTCTCTGCTGAACACTTAGGGACTCTGAGGTAAAGATTCCTGTATGCTGCTTCACCTGATCCTGGTACCCAGAGCATGTGAGCTTCTCTCACTACAGAGACCTCCTCCATTCTTAATGGAGGGAGGTCATATTAAAGTACCTCCTAGGTATCTAAGGCTGGTGCCCTTGTTGATACTGTGACTTGGTCACTCACTGAATCTCTGAAGGCATCAGTAGACTGAAGAAGAGTCGTCTTTTTTTGTTTTTTGTTTTTGAAGAAGAGTTCTTACATTGAGCTGTATTTTGAGGATTACTTGCCATTGATCATTTAAGGACACATGATTGTGTGTTTGGCATATGGATAACACACTCATAATGTTTACCCCTCTAATCCACTTGCCTGCTTCTAATGCCCCACTGATGACATAATGGCTCCTTCCTGATCCCTAAGGGTGATGTGCGTCCTGTGGCATTGATGTTACCCATGTCTACAAGGACCTTCAGATACTGCAGACAGTGGTGGAACATACCTTTAATCCTAGCACGTGGGAGGCAGAGGTAGGCAAATACCTTGAGTTCAAGGCAAGTCTGGCCTACAGAGCTAGTTCCAGGACAGCCAGAGCTATACAAAGAAGCCTTGTCTCAAAAAACAAACAAAACAAAACAAAACAAAAATACCCAAACCTTTGGATCTTATTGATATTTCTACCAATTCCCTCATAAGTGACAGTCTCAGCTGATGTCCAGCATAGTACAGCCCTGGGGAAGTTGGAGACCACTCACCTTGACAGAGCTCTGCTTGGCCACATATATTAAAAGTATCTTCAACATTGAACTGGACATTGTTACAGAAATGGTGGCGTTTTTGGGATCTGGGGGCAGTCGACCTCCAGGCACTGGCACCGCTTTTTTGCCAAAATTGGCTTTAACCTAAGGAGAAGAAAGTAGAAAAAATATCTGTATGGTCAGGAGACTAGAAGGAGAGGTAAGGCCTTGTTGCATGGCTGTCTCAGTGTAGGGTGACACTGCCTTATGTGACTTCGAGTGGCACTGTAGAAGGTCTCATGGCAGCCAGGCTTTCCTGAGAGGCCATGAATCCTCACCTAAATGTGAGATAGCCATTTATGATGGACTTCATGAAGATGAGGTGTTTTCAATATTTTCATCCTCTCCTTGTCACAGTTTCTAGAAGGGATTGTCAGTCTCCTTCTGTGGTCCGTCCTTCCTTCCTTCCTTCCTCCCTCCCTCCCTGCCTCCCTCCCATCCTTCCTTCTTTCCTTCCTTCCTTTCCTGTCCACTTCTCTCCCAGCAGTGTTTCATAAACCATCATAGGGAGGGATCAGTTCTTAGATAGTGCGTTAATCTTGGGTATTTGCTCTGTCTGTCTCCTTTCTTTTTTGTATGCATTCTCCTGTTATATTTCTGAACTATAATCACTTTTTGGAAGGGATGTTGGAACATATAGGGAGGAACATAGAGAAAAGAAGCTTATTTCCTCCTGTCCTGTGCATACCTCCTTTAGTTTTCCTTGACTTTAGAGTGACTAATAGTATCTGGAAATCATGACCACGTGTTTCCACATGTGACATGTGTAGAAGGATCTGACCCTCAGTCCTTTGTGTGTGTTGTAGATTGTTGATGAACACCATCCCAGATGTGCATGGTTTGTCTTCAGCATCTGAGCGCAGGTTTTTGGATGGGTTTCCAGAGGAGAAGCTGAGCTAATCATGTCCCCTCTCTTCCTCACTTGTCACACCCTGGTTTTGCCTTCCTGGCTGGGGAGAGGGTGGTTGGCAGGAGCTGGCCCTTTTTGTTCTGATGTGTATACTCTATTGAGAGTGGAGACCTCGGCTGGGCCAAGTTATGCTACTGTCAGCTGGAGTGCCTCACAAGCCATCATCTTGTGTATTAGAGCGGAGAGGAGCACTAGGATGACCATGTCCCGAAGGGCCCTGAAGATACTGATCTCAGGAAAAGATGAGGGGATTGAAAAGAGCTGATCCTTTACTGCCCTGACATTTTAAATGTTTGTGTGTGCTTTCAGCCTTCATCCAGTTGTCATTGCAAAGACAGTGACTACTTACACAGTAGGGGATGGAAAGTCCTTTGTGAGATATCTTGGCACCTTGAGCCTGGTACTTGAATAAGCCAGTAGCTGTGGAGGAGAGGAGGGGGCGGAATGGAGTGAGCCCACACTGTCCCTGATGGCGGTGTGTCTTAGACTGTAGCTGTGGTCTCCCTCGACACCAGTGTGGGCAGCTGCTTCTGTCTGCCTGCCAGGTACTAGGTGGTGCTCTGAACGTCTTCCACATCTCAAATGCTCTGAGCTTCCGCTTTACCCAGTAGGAATCATTTTCTCACCTGATGTGTCACAATGTATTTGGAGAAGGAAACACTGGCCATGTAGATCATGTATTTTGTCTATCGTGGGACTTGAGAAATAAGTCCAAATTCCTGCTTCACCTCCCCGGGTTGTTGAAACCAGTATGGCCTCCCACCTTGGCTGCTGGCACGTTTATAGGAATATTCTAAGATGTTCTCATCTCAGGACCCCAGAGACGATTTCCTCAGACTGGCCTTGATTCAAACTTATGCAGTGTTGCCTTGAAAGCTGTTCGGTTGGTAAGCTCTGTGCAGTCCCCAGAGGCACTGTGTCCTTATCTTTTCTGTGTGTTAGAAGTCAAGGACCTTGAGGGAAAGGTCAATTGGACCATTCTCCTTCCTCTGTGTGTCTAGTAGCTTGTGAGGGCCCTTGTAATGTTGGAGACTGGTATTCCAGAGTCACATCCTCTATGGTTTATCACCCTATGAAGTCCCCCATGGTCCATGAACCACTTCAGTCCACTGACAAAAGAACACCAAGGAAGTACTCACCATTCTTGCAGTCATTAAAGTCCTTGAGGACGATCGCACAGGAGTTGGATTTCTCCAGCTGTGAAGTCACTACAGGTTAGCTTAGCTGAGGGAGCATCAGGAGCCTGTCTTATCAGCCTTCTTCCTCCCCTCTCTCCTGGGCTTCCCCTTTTCCTGTGCTATTTCTCTGGTCTCTTTTGGGCAGACGTTTGCACTGTTCCCAAAACTCGTGTCCTCTGGTTCTGCTGCTAGACATATTGTCAGAGGAGCTGCTTGTCCATTGTGACCCCTCTGCTCCAGAGGTCCCTGGCCTTGATTTCCAGCTGTCCTAGCAGTAGGCCATTTGCAGAGCTTCAATATTTTCCCCTAGTTCCCAGTGAATCAGGTCTGTGAGTGAACCCCACCCCTTCCCTGGACTTACATTCTCATTCATCTCTGCAGAGAGCACTATTGGGATGACATCTTTCAAAGGCAGAGGCACGGGGAGAGGCACAGTTCCTGTTACTCTGTGGAAGATACACATGTTGAAGGAAGTGATCTTCAGGTTTCTAGATGTGTCCATGTCTCAGACACACCGACTCCCTGATGATGGAGTCAGGATGTGTTTGGCTTCTCTTTGTGTAGGCTAGTCCTGAGCTCTTGCCTTGGTCTTTGGTCTTTAAGGAAGATGGAATGACACCTGGGCAAAGCACAGGACACCCGGCCCTGAGGTCCCCTGCAGGGATTCATCATTCAGACTGTGGAGCATAATTGTCCACGGACCTGTCTGTGGTCGTGGCTTAGCTGTGGATCTGAATTCACAGCTTGCTAAAGTCTAGCTAGAGAAGTTCTAATGATGTCCTGCCTAGGGCACAGAAGATGGAAGGAAAGGACGTCAAAGCTGGTAGGTGTGGTGAGATACACTTTCATCTCCCTAGTGTGAACCTAGTCAGAAGTAGGCAGCGGGCACAGACAAGTGGCAGGGAGTTTCCCTGCGTGGCCTCATGGTGGGTTTTCTCTTTTTGACTCAGGTCAGTGTACTGCTTAGGGAAAATATAGGATGAGTCACTGAGATAGAGTCAGCAGGATAGATGTAAGGTCAGGTGAGAAGGTTGTTCCTAAACACAGCAGAATGTTGGCAGTCAGCTCTCCTGGCATTTCCTGATTGCCCCGTGCAGTATGGTGACCAGCATTCCTCCAGGACAGCAATAGGGCCCTTCTGACATACATTTGGACTGATGCAGTAGAATGAAGGAAAGTTTTACGTACGTCTCAATTAACTGAATCTTTATTTCGTTGACCTGGATGTGGGTGTCTTGGATGTCAAGGTTGACACATTGCGTGTTGTTGGAGGAAATAGCCACTTTCATTGTCACTTCCAGGTTAGATTCAAATTGCATTAGGCTGATGACAGGTCCAAGTACTCTGTGGAGATGAATGTGAGGTGAATGAAATATTGCCTGAGACCTGAGACTCTAGGGGAGGGGTAGCTATCAGGAAATGGGCTTCCTGCTGTGGTGAAGGTCATCCTCTAGAGGGAAGGAGTGTGTTTTTCAGGCCCCATCTTCTTAGGCCCCAGTCCCATGCCAAAGAGAGAAGAAGGTGGTCCTTTTTGGTTTCAATGTTTCAGAAATAATTGTCCTATGTAGCCTGAAGGAGGTGCCTATTGTTGGTGGCACTGTCTACCAGTTTCAAGTTCACCTTCAAGCCTAGCGTTAGATCTTCTGAGTTTTGCGGAAATACATAAGAGAATTGTGACAGAGGAAATCCGGGGCTTCTTAACATAGGAAATTCTGGGCAGGGCAAATTATACTTACGTACATACATACATACACACGTGTGTGTTTACATATGCATACACATATACATGTATGTTTAATATATATGTACACACATACATGTAAGTATATTCATATTTTTCTGTGGCACGTTGTCCTCTGTAAGGAAGTCTTCCCGGGAATGGTCATCGTTTCTCTCTGTGTGTGTCCTTGTCATCTGGCTCTAGGATAGGGGCGTGCACCCTAATCCCTGGTGGCCCAGCAATCATTTTGGAAACAGGCTCACCCTTCTCCACCTATGTTGGCAGTGACTTCGGAGTGGACTTGGATCTCATCAGCTGCCATGGTTATGTCCGTGCTGTCCACTGTTACTTGGTCCACCTTAAGTCTGCAGAGTGACAGACAACACAGACTCAGTTTTGCTTCAGGGAAACAGCCCAGCCCTCATGAGAAATACCTGTGAGGATGGCAGTTCACCACCAACTAAGCTCTGCTACTCCTATGGCCCCTGAACTCTGCTTCCCAACCACTTTTTAAGTTCAAGACATCCTGGCTGCACTTTGCAGAGATTCCAGCGGGAGTAAGTATGTCTCTGTGTGACGGGGTGGCTTCACTGGGGCTGTTGTATGTGGAGTGCCATGGTTCCCAATGAACATCTTGTTCACCCACAGACCCAGGAATCGTGAAGGACGCACTTACTTCAGTACAAGGTCTTTGATGTTCATCTTGAGTAGATCTAAAACTGGCTCTTTGATGTCACTGGGGAGTGTTTCCTTGATCTTCTTCTCGACAGAGTCTTTTATGTTGTCTACATTTTCAACCACGTCATGCAGAGGCTTCCCGACACTGGAGAGCCCTTCTCCATTCAGGAGTCCTTTCCCAGAGCCCTTGCCTCCCCCGAGGTTTAGTAAGCTGTCCAGGCCACCAGTGCCCCCTGCGAGTAGCTGGTTGAGACCCCCAGTGGCCTTAGACCCTGAAGAGGGCTTTGAGGAATGCTCATTCCCCTCTTTGCCTAGGACAGTATCTAGTCCAAGAGCACCTGCCCCTTTTAGGAGGGAACTGGGATCTAAGAGTGAGAGCAGGTCAGGACTCTCCACCGTGGTTAACAGTACCCCTAGCACTCCTGCCAAGCCAACGTCATCACACTTCACAATGTCCTCGATCTGTGGGGGCAGATTGTTCATGAGATCTGAAAAAGATCAAGAGACAACCCTGCTGTGATTTTCTGTTCAGTTCATCCCTAGCTTACTCCTTTTGGTAAGATGACATCTTGACATACAGGGCATATGGCAACTCTGAGTTCTGACTCCCAGATTTTCATGCTGCCCCTGCACTAGTTAAGAATAGTCTTGTGCTGCCGGTGAGATGGCTGAGAGTTTACAAGCAGTGGCAGATTCTAAATCTGGTGTTTCCTTGTTGTGAAAACGTGGCTGAGGGGGTCTAGAGCAGCTTGGGTCCCAGCAAGATATAACCGTGTGGTGTGACTCAGTGTCTTGGTGGTAAGAATCCAAGGAATCAGACAATTCTCTTGTCCAGGGTCCCATCGGCCTGTCTTGAACTTACATGTGGCTGTATCATGTCACTGTAGGCTGATCCCTTTCCTGAGGATTACTTCCTGGGTACATATATATTCTCTTGCTATGTTGTGCAGCCATACATTCTTGGTTTTATCCCACATAAATTTAGTTCCCTCTTTTTTGTTTCTCAGTGCTGATATTGTACACAAGCCTTGACCATGTTACACTATTACTCTAACCCTGAGCTATGTCTTCAGTTCCCTGGCATTTTTCCCAGTCCCTATTTTAAAATTGTCAAGTCTCAGATCCCTTATGAAAATTTCTCCATCTCCCTGAACTGTTGGATGAGATGGATTCTGGCCTTTGCTGTACCAGAATTTCTAGGCATGACCCAAGCCCCTTCTTTCTCTAGGCTCATGCAATGCTACAGGGTCACCGTGTTTGGAAACCACTTATTCTTAGGGCTCACTCAACCTGCTCTGAGCTCAGGACCCAAGAAGACAGCTGAAATGAATCTTACTTACAGTCATGGAGTTTGCCACTGGAGAGGAAGTATCTGGCTGCAGGTGCACACTTGCCACCCCTGGAGGCAGCTGGATGCTTTTTGATAGGTGAGCCTTGCTTGTTGGAGGAACCTTTGAGGTGTGGTGGTGTTGGCAGGTTGAGAGGAAGGGTGTTCACATTGGGCACAGCAACAGGGAGATTGCTCACCACTGGAGGCGTTTCTACCAGATCAAGTGTTCCTGCTTGGATGCTCAACATGATCACCAAGGCCCGAAGAGCCCACATCGCTATGACTGATACCTGTGGAAGAGAAATAGGTCCCATGTCACATATTACAATGGGCCTTAGAGATGTCATGTAATCTTGTGTAGGTGATTTCCTGTCTCTTGTAAGAGCTTGTTTTTCACATTATTGATATCCCAGTTTCTCCTCTGTTCCTGGAAATACGGTCTGATGTATGCTAGTTAACATATTCTCATTACTCTTTCTACCATGCACAGTTGTACTGGCAGGATTGGTGGCATCATGTCAATGCAGGTGAATCTTGCCGTGTGGTCTGACTTCCTGCGTTCATGTGCATTCTTCTGCTATTGTCTGCAGCCACACATTCTTGGTATTATCCCACATATAAATTCCCGTCACCTTGTGTTTTCCTGTGCTGATATTGTACATGAGTGTTGAACATGTTACACAGTTGCTCTAAAACTGAACTGTCTTCTTAACCCCTGTTGCCTCCTAGTCCCCATTTTAGACATGTGTAATTGAGTCGTCAGCGTCAATCTCAGGTCCCTTCCCCTAAGTATCTTCTTAGTGATAGTTAAGTATTGGACTTTTCGGGAGAAATCTTTTAGAATTGTGCCTGCATAGCTAGACTTTAGGTCTCATTTTTATCCCAGTTTCCCTTGTCAATTGGCTATTATACCTCATTCATGGTGGATTTGAGCTGTGCTGTTGACATCTGTAGATCATTTCCCATCTCACCTTCCTTCTAAGATTCCTTGGTCATTCTTATTTTCTAGATGTTTTGTCTCTGACCTTTACCTTGATGTATTAGTTTATTTATTTTTGAGACAGGTTCATATTCTTGGTCTTGATTTTCCTGAAGCTTGCTTTCTAGTTCAGGCTGGCCTTGAAATCTCAGAGAAGTGCTGCCTCTGTCCCTCCAGTGTTGGGGTTTAATCTGTATACCACCATGCCTGGCCCATCTTCAGATCTCTGAGTTACAATTATTTGTTGCCTTCCATTGTGGGTTATGTGTGTGTGTTCTAAGTAATGTGTGTAAGTCACAGGACAACCTGATGGAGGTTATTCTTCCCTTCTGTCATGTGGATTCTAGTGATCAAACAGGTCATCAGGCCTGGTGGCAGGTATTGTTACCAGCTGATTGATGTCACTGTCCCAACTGTAGTATTTAGAATGGCCTGAAACATGTGTCCCTGACACTTCCCCCTAAGGTATGAGTTGCATTGTGGCATTTCTTCCTTCTTGCTCTTCTTCACCTGTCAGTGTTTGTTAAATTAGGTTTTGGGTCTTTGCTCTGACCTTTGGAAAAGTCAGCATTGACATGGTGTCACCTCTGTCAAATCCTCCCCCCAAGATAAATACGTGCAATTTACTTCATGACAGAGGGGAGCCAGCGCGTGTGTTCCTGATAGCAAAGATCATTCATCAAGACTCCAACTATAACCCTGCTTTAAAGAAACACCACTCCTCCTCCACTCTGACGGGTACCTTTCTGGTAATTACTTGATTTTTTATATCATCTATAATCCTCCTTTCATCCTTTAAATCTTTCCATATTATCTTCTATGCATACTCCATAGTCTACAGTAGCTGTGTCTTCCCTGGTCTGAGCCATGCATTGTCTGTACCTTTGATGATTCCTAGAGGACATTGGTGATGTTTTAGGTTCGCACTATGTACATGCTCTAGGAAAAGTAAACCCTCTGTTGTCATTACCAGGAAAAAGTGGCTTCAGTTAATTGAAGCCAGTGAACTGTTCCATTCCTTGAGTAACCTGCCTGTTTGAAAAGTAAGTTTCACATTTCCACCAGACTTTTCCCTTTCCTCTATGACCTCTGGGAAATCTAATCAGCATGCCATTCATCTAAACACAGTCTCAGGAAAAGTAAGGCATGCATGCCTGTTAATGAGTTCATGGCTATGCTGATTTGGTGGAACTCTCTGAGAGGTCCAGCTTCCTGTTTTCTCAAGAAAACAGTCTCCCAATTGGTCCTTGTTATCCACTGATCCACTTTATTCCCAGTGCCCTGCAGTTCAGCACCCCAGGAATATTTCAGATCATTAGTGAGTAAGCACTAGTCATCTGTCCAGAGGTGCCCTGTCCCATGGACATTCCCACCTGGCCTGCCCTTGGTAGTACACCCGTCTGGGCCATCCTTACCTTTCCACTCCCAAGGGTCAAAGTCTTCAGAAGCTGCTTCTCCTCTTGCTCCTGCTTCTGACTGCCCACCCAAATGTGCACCCCATTTTATAGGCATTCACTCTCTCCTAGAATGGTCATCATGTAGGAAGGGGCGGGGTCTAGATGTGCTGATAAGACAGGTGTGGTGCAGTGTGCTTTCCAAAATCAGCAGCTGCTCTTTGTTCCAGCTTGTGTGGGCGTGTCCCTGTGCCTGTGAGAGCTGGGCTTGGGATGTGGAGGCATGCACATCATGGAGAGAGTGTAATGTCCCTGAGGATCTGGAGGTTCTTCCTGTTCTATATTCAAACTTGAGATGGGGTGAAGTGAAGGAATTGTTGTAGTGGATGTTTTCATGGCCTTTTTGTAAAGTGGTTTTCATGTCCCCTTCTTATTTTACATCTCGACTTGTTTTCTTATGTCTTGCTGTATAGTAATCATTAGGGTGTTAGGTGACTCCATGCAGTGCCATGACGGACAATTCCCATTCCATTTATGATGTCACGTAGTGTCCCCTGTACAAACTCAGTACCTAATAATCAGCAGAAGTATAGGCATCCATGATACATTTATGATATCCCATTGGCCATTGAGTTCTGTGATGACCTGTTGTCAAATACTTTGTGTCATGTATGACTGACATGAGGCATCCTGCCTTATGAAAAGCCTCCTCACGAGTAAGGGGTTTGCAGAGAATCTAGTGTTGAAGTGAGTGAATCAGAGCATAGCAGTTGTCAGCCATATTAAGCAGAGGTGTTTTATAATTGTGTAAGAACTCTATTATATCTTTTTGTTGTGCAATTATACAAGGCCTGGAATGGATATGGATATTATTTGTGCATTTGTATTTTCAGTTATCCTTCTTTATTCTTTGGAAATGTTTTACATTTATATAATGGATTTTGAAGCTGTTATTTTCCACTACCTCCTTCTTACTCTCGCTGGACCCCTCGTTTCCTCTCTTCATATCTTCCTCATAGTTTTGGTTATCTGTATACCCTGAGTGCAGTTAGGCCTCTCCACTGTTGTATGGGCAACATTCTTGTAGCGTTTGTAGAGGGGAGCAACTCCCTTAACCATCAAGAATGCCAAAAGCTCACCCACTAAAGGTAGAACTTTGTGTGAATCTCCTCCATCCATACTGGAACCTTGAATGCTTTGATCTCCTGGTAGCAATTGATGTGTTCAATCGCCCTGCTAAGTCCAGAAGTTAGCAGTTCACCATTCTTCCCATCCGTGACCTTTCTTTTCTGCTCTCTCTTTCATGTTGTCTGCTGAGCCTTGTGTGTTGGGAGGTTTTTGTAGGTTACTTGTCCACAGGTGTACTCACAGGTACCTGTACTTGACATTTGGACCAGGTATGAGACTCTCTTAACTACTACCCACTACAGAAAAAGTGTCTTTGACTGAAGTCAAATTGTCAATAATGTGTATGTGTATGCATTAATATTTAGAGGTGTTTTGACAGCAGGTAATTGTACCAAACAAGAGTAGATTTCCTCTCTTGGTCGTATGATGTCCTCAGTCATTTGCTTTTAAGCAGTTTTCAATTATCAGACATGAAATCCCTCTGTGAGGCAGGCCTCAGATTCATTGAGAAAGCACTTGGTGATCCCCATTATCACCATTCCACTATTGCACCAGTGGGCAGGTCTTGTGCAGATCAGTAGCATAGCATGCAGGTCCAGTGTTAGATGAGACTATTGATTTCTCTCCCTTCCCTATGGATTTATCCCTAGCACCTTCTGGAGCTATATATACTACCAAGATGGGAGACATTTTCCCAGTCAGTTCATGTTGATTTCTTTGCATCCTGCATCTCTAGTGAATTTGTAATAGGATCTTGTCATCTAGTTAGGGTAGGCACTTGTTCTGTCAATTTAATGTCAACCTGACACAGATGAGACTAGTCATCATTGAGGAGGGAGCCTCTATTTTAAAAATGCCTCTATAAGATCCAGGTATAAGGCATTTTCTTGATTAGTGAATGATGGGTGAGGGACCAGCCCTTGTGGGTGGTGCCACCCTTGGTTTGCTGGTCCTGGGTTCTACAAGGGTGCAGGCTGAGCAGACCATCGGGAAGCAATTTAGTAATTAGCGGCTGTTATTGGCCTCTGCATCAGCTCTGCCTTGAGGTTACTGCCCTGTTTGAGTTCCTGCCTTGACTTCCATCTGTGATGGACTGTCACCTGGAAGTGTAAAGAGGAAGAAGCCCTTTCCTTCCCCAGTTGCTTTGGTCATGGTGTTTTGTCACAGCAATGGAGACTCCAACTAATATAACACCTAAGATAATATGTTTGTGTACCTCTGGGACCTCCTCCACCTATAACTTGTTGGCTGTTATCTTGTGCGTGGCATCGAGATTTTTGTGAGTGTGGCAACCCACGACTTTTGGGAGTAGCATTGTTCAAGCACGCAGGGTAGTTCTGTGTCAAAATCACTTAAAATGTGTTTACCAGCTGGGCATGGTGTCACATGTTTTTAACCCCAGTACTTGGGAAGCAGGGGCTGGCAGATATCTGAATTTAATGACACCGTGGTGGTCTACAGAGTGAGTTCCATCACAGTTGGAGACACACAGAGAAACCTGTCTGAAAACTCAACAACAGCAACAAGAAAAAAGACTTTTGTGGTTAGCTACAAACTTGTGGATTCCTATACGATATTTTCATATATCCTCGATTTGTCTAATTTAACCCTACTGTCTCCTATCCTCTATCCCCTTTAATCTCCTTTTATGTAACCTGTGTTCTATGCTCTCATTAAATTTTTCTTCCTTGTGTTGTAAGTTCATAGACTTTCATGCAGCTTTTCCTGTACTTGTCATTTTGTCAATCCTTCTGACAGCTCTCAGTATCTCAGTCCTCATCCCCA